AAATCCAAAACAGGGAAAAGAGTTTCATTAAAGCCAATCGATAGCTGGCCAAGAGGAATCCACCGTCATCTAATGTTGCAGTCAACCTTCGAATATCTTAACCCCATACTTTTATGCGAAAGAGAAGTGAGCTTAAAGATTCCTTCGTATAAAGAATAGAAGACTAAGGGATATCTACAGTAATCTTCCGGCAAGGTCATCATATGAACTTTTACATTAAATGAAAGTCAACTGAGTACAAAAATCATTGAAAGTCAGGAGGACTGAGGCAATGATGGTAAACAACAATTTACCCTGGGAACAGATCAGGTGATTCACCCACGGTCTCGTTTTTCATAGTTGGAGATGAATTAGGGTTCTCAACAGTAGAGAGTTGGCGCGAAACAATCGTGTCAATGAAGACGTGATCACTTGTAGGCTCTATGTCGAGGAACTGAAGATAATCACGTCGCGGCAGACATTTGTCTAAGGCTAGGAAACGAGTGTATTTGTCAGATTCCTGTGAGGTAAAATGCACATAATACAATATAAATGATTTCCAGAGAGAAAATAAAACAATACTCATAGATATGAAGACCAAGATGGCGTGGCTCTCTGTTCGATCGCAATCTCCTTTACCTTTATATTGTTGGTTCGAGCTTTTTTCACAACTTAGCTGGAGCGTCAAGGAGACCTTGTGAAACGTACCTAGTCCTCTACCATAGTATTCGTGGTTTCCAGCATCGGACCATTGGCTGGGTACACTCCCAAACGTTCCGCTGGCACCGTCAGTGAGGGGCGCCATTGTAAGTTTTAACTATGTGCTTACGATGGCATCTCTCACTGGCGATACCAGCGAAATGTTTGGGAATGTATTAAGTCTATTGTTCGATGCTAAAAACACTGATACTATGGCAAAGGACACACGAATAGGTACGTCTCACAAGGTTTCCCCGTTTCTCTGTCCGAATTGCGAAAACAAGGACGAACCAACACTATAAAAACTTTCGATTATCTATTCACTACGGTCCTGTCTAAGATAATTATACCTCTTAAGCCTACATTGCTAGGAATATTGCATGCTACAAAGCTTGAGTAAAAAGCGCGAGTTAAGATGAGTGGAAGTGGTAGATATGAAGATATTGTAATTAAGATAGCCTTACCAGATTTGTAGGTGGATATATTAACGCAAGTCAATTTAACCCAGGGGCGCAATAGAAATGGGGCCCGGAAATAGGGAGGTACGTGGGATAAAAATCGAATGCACCAGTGAGTAGTAGGGTTTAGTTAAAATTATCTCTTTTTGTGTCCCTTTCATGATCGTGGTAGCAAATTTGAATCATTGAGTTAAGGCAATGATTTATGTATATAGACTTGTTTGTATTAGAAGGAAAAAAATAAACATGTAGAAGATGATAGAAGTGGAGACTGCGACCACCTCAGAGGCCACAACATCTTGGTCTTCATATATGTAGAAGTTGCCTTACGCAATTAAAGTCCCAAAGAGCTTGCAAACTATGCAGTAGATAATGTAAGAGAATGCAAACAATAAGAAACCCATGAGACTGATATAGGATGTAATGAGTATGCAAGGCGAAAACGTTGCTGTGATATAAAACAGGGTAAGAAATTAGCTTAGGGGCGATCGCAAGCCCCTTGTCTTGAAATTCAGTGTATATAACAGGGCCCATGGAGGTTAAAATAGACCTAGAAGTGGTATGACCTCGTTTGCGCAACGGTAGTTTGTAAACTTCAACACAATTATACTTCTGATAGCTTCGAAGCAACAAGACATAGGAAAAAATTTTAATTACCAATCGTGAAAAAAGCTTGAGGGGAAAAATGAAAAGCGTTAGATACTAACCGGATGCTCAACTAAAGCGCTGAATTTGCAATGCAGATGTGCCGCAAACCAATATCTCGGCTTAAGCCGGCAGAGAAGTTGCTCTCCAGGCGGGCTCCCTAATACATTAGAAGAGATGTCATCAGAGAAATGTCTTTTTCTTGAAAGAAGACTCCGAGTATCGCCATATCTAGCAAGATTATGATAGAAAAAAACATGAGTATTTTATTAAGGCATAGAGCCCCTTGATGCATCATAATGGGAACCCAATGAATATCTAATGAGCCTTTTATGGCATATAACAGGTTTCAAAGTGAATAAAATCTAGCAGACAGTAATGGAAAAATGTTGAAAAATTAGTCCTCAAAGAATCCCATAATAAAGTTAATGTTGGACTACCCTTAATTTCGTTTGAATAGGCGAATGGAAGAGATTCGTAAGTTTACCTCGTCGGAAGCTTTAGAATGATTGCATTGGAGTTGCAATTGCAGATGAAAGAATGGGTCCTCAAAGCACCGCCCTGAGACCCCGATATTCCCTTGTTGAGCTTTTGTCGGTCGTGAAAAGACATCGTTAAAGCATAGCAAGATAATTCACCAAACAAAAATACAAGGTGGCCGGCTTAAAGCCTACCTAATTTTTATAGCCTAGCTGGTTTGACTAATTAAAACATCATATGATTTGGTTGGATATCATATGCTTTCTTACAGGCAGTTCAAAAGTGAAGTGGCTGCGGACGGAGCGTGAAACAAGGACAATTGTGATTGAACATATGTATTACCCCTAAAACATTCATTTATTAAAGAAATACTTGTTTTAAAAGAATAAGGAATGAATCACAGCTCTGACAATGTTCATCACATGACGAACGAAAGCTCAGCCCGTCTTCGCGCGAAACGTTGTAGGATGTCTCATGGACTGCATAAACCTAAAGGTCGTATTAGGGCCAAACGACTGCAGTAAAACGCGAATCCACCGACTTCTGAGATTGATCTACAAATGTCTTCCTCATGCACTTTTATACAAAACGTCAGTCTTCACATCAATCACGGAAGGTTAATCGAAACCCATTTACTCTTCTTATCCAGAAAATGTTAGTTAAAAATGATTAACCATTACGATAAATTGCGAATTCCTTTAAAATACTAGCGAATATGATGGAGGAAAGCATCTTTATGGGGCAAGATAGGCAGCTGGACCACTCGAATAGGATTCTGATGTTACCGTCGTGTCAGTTTGCAAAAATATACGTGAACTACTAAGGAAGTGGAAGATGACAATTCAGAAGGAGAATATAACCCTTTCTTTAGTTGTGTTATCTTTTCGGAAAATTTCGAACCTACTTTCCAAATCGGGCTGCCATAAAGTTTTGTGCTCACGTGGTAGCATCTATATGGAGAAGAGCTGTCGATCCAAACATAAGTTATCTGAACATAAAATATCCTGCAAAGGTTTGTGGGTCCAGAAGTCAGAACTGGCAGAACAGACAAACCACACAGGATACCAGATAAACTGATATATTATGAAACGAAGAGAAAGTTGGTTTCGATGAATCTCCTGAGATAACAT